CCTAATGAGTGTATAATTCAATCTTGTTACTGTACTGATTAGTATTTTTCTGATTCTAGTGTCGCACACCTTTCCTTGTGCTATACTGGCTATTTATCATCTTCTTGTGTCTACTTTTTAATTGAGTTGTTTATTAATGAGCTGTAAGAGTTCTTTATATATTCTGATTATAGGTTACATGCATTATAAATATGGTCGGTTTAAGAACTACTTTTCATTTTCTTAATGATGTCATTTAAAGTTCTAAATTTTGATGGAATCTCATTTATCAATTTCTTTCTTTTATACATCATGGTTTTTATATCCTAGGAAATTCTTGCCTGCCCTAAATTCATAAACATTTCCCTTATAATGTCTTCTTAAAGTTTTATAGTTTTAGCCTATCAAATTTAGGTTCATAGTTCCTTTCAAGTCATTTTTATGTATGGAAATAAAGGGTTGAGATTAATTTTTTATATACAGATACCTGGTGTTCTAGGGCCATTTGCTGAAAACACTATCTTTTCCTCTCCTCTTGAATTGAGTTTATGTTTTATAAAATGTTACTGTTAAATAACCTTTCAAAACTCAGTGGACCATATATGTGTGGTTCTATTTCTAGATTCTCTGTTTTATTCCAATGATCTCTATGTCTTTCCTTACACCAACACTGCCTTGATTACTGTAACTTTAGAGGAAGTCTTAAAATTAGGTACTTAAATGTCTTCCAACACTGTTTTTTTTTTAATTTTCTAGGTCCTTTGTACTCCTACATAACTTCTAAATTTCAATATCCAATTCTTCATTTATAGCAAGTATACATAGACCTGAATTTTTATATATACCTTGTGTTTTCTAATCCTGCTAAATTCAAATACAAATTCTAGGGGCTCCTAGAGATTTCTTAGTATTTTCTCTGTAGATGATCATTTCATCTACATATAAAGATTTTACTTCTACCTTGTCAATCCTATCCTAATTGTGTCAGTTTATTGCTAGACTATTTTGGTTTGGGCCTATGTTTCAAAGTTTAATGGACAGATGAAGAGTAGGCATATCTGCCCTTGTTCTCCACCTTAGGGAGAAAGCATTGTATCTTCTCCATTCATATAACGCGTTATTGCTGGAAGTATGGAATGCATGTCTTTTGTCTGTTGAGAAGGTTCTGTTCTACTTTTAGTCTCCTGATAGCTTTTACCATGAACAGCTGTAGAATTTAGTCCATTACTTTTTCTCCAACTACTTTCAGGATCATTTGGCTTTTTCCTTTCCTCTGTTAAAATGATGACTTTTAGGGGTGGATCTTCCAATGCTGAACCAACACTGCCATCCCTATAATGAAACCACTTTCCACATACTGCCAGATCTCACTTCTAATAGTTTGCTTTGTAAACAAATTTCATGTTCATACTTTTTCTTCTATTATCTTTATCCAGTTTTTAGTATTAGCACAATGTTGATTTCCTAAACTGAGGGGAGAAATGTTCCTTCTTTTTTCTGCTTTAAATGTTTGATATAATTTATCAGTTAAAACATATATGAGCCTACCATTATCATATAGGTAGGTTTTCAAGCTAGGAATATACTTTCTTTAATAAGTGCTATTCAAATTTTATATTTCCTCCAGAGTTAGTTTCATTAATTTGTCTTCCAAAGTACTTCTTAGAAGTTGTCAAATTTATTTCAAAACAGATTTTTGTAATATGCTTTCTATATCCTTTTAAATTCTGTCAATTCTATGGTAATGTCTCCTAGATCTTCATATTGCAATTTTAAAAATGTATGATTGATTTTGTGTAATAGGAAGAAAAGGTCTAAAGGAGTAGGGGAAATGGGAGGAGCAGGGGAAAGGAAAGAAGGGAAAAGAAAAAACACGACTAAAGGAAAAAAATAGAAACAAAGTCTTTGCAAATAGGGAAGGGTGGAGGGGGTGAAGGTTAGGCAGGGGAAGGGGAAAAATAATAACCAAGATACATCATGTAAAGGTACAAGATCCTAATGATGAATGTAACTGTATTTTATACCTAAAATGTACTAATAAACTTAATGGAAAAAATTTTTATGAAATAAATATGAGATAGATATGCTTATTCTCACTTGTAAGTTTCACAATGTGTACATGTGGTGAAACATCACCTGATATCCTATAAGTATGCATACTTTTATCTGTTCACTTAAAACCCCCAAATTTGAAAAATACTGCAACAACTATAAGTTGTAGACTATGTGAAAAACAGGTGAAAAAAGACTGGGAAAATGTTGATAATTGCTGAAGCTAATTGATGGACTACTAGGGCTTATTTAATTACCTAATTCTAATTTTATATGT